GCAGAATGAACAGAAGGAGTCAAGCACGCAGTGGCTTGGCAGTGGGGGCAGCAGAAGCAGTGTGACTGAGAGCAGCAGCAGGAGTTAGATATAGCTGCTTAGCAATATTTGTTAAGTATTTGAAGGAACCTTTTTCGAATCCGTTTCGCAGTGTTATTCTTTTGCCAACTAATTAATTGGCTTTTTAATGAGATGTGCAGTGGAGCGCTGCCTGATTGAAAGGCATACTGGACTTGATTATTTTAGTATAGAAAATGTTGTCTACTTTTTCTATTGCTGCGAATTTGAAAGATCAAATGATTGTAAGTTGCTCTGGGTAAATATTAGACTGCAAGCAATAACAATAATCAATACACAAAGAAAAACATATAAATATTAATGCAGCACTGTGCTGGGTATCGAGAGCCACCAACTAGCTGCAATAACGTCTGCAATCAAAGCACCCTCTAATAAATACAATCAGCGCAGGGACAAGAACAAAACGAGATTCTGTATAGCTACAGTTTTTTCTGCGGCCCGGGCCAAAGCAAACATGTTGCTAAGTATGCTTCTAGCCAACATGTTGGCTGCCTTTGGCTGACTGGCAGCATTAACGATGTGGTTGTGACCAACGACACTGCCACCGTCGCCGCCACCACCACCAGCAGTGGAAGCAACAGCAGCAGCAGTAGCAGCAGCAGCAGCAGCAGCCGCTGATGCCGCCGTCGCTGCGAAATCCCAGACGCGCGTTAGTTATAGAAATGGTAGACAACAATGGCTGATGAGGTTATGACTGCAAAGCTCAGGGTTTGGGGGCACCTGCACTGGAATTTTATTGGGGCGTGTGCAACACGGCGTATGATTAACAGAATTACCAAACATTTATCAACAGCTACTGCACTTGACGACTCCCCATGGAGAAGTTGAAACCAAATAAGACAAAAAAAAAAAAAATATTCTAAATAAATCCCGTAACAAGCAGGTTACTTTTGGCTTTCTCCCGCTTCTCTCGCTCTCTATTTCTCACTCTCTCTCTCTCGCCCAAACTTCCCTTTAATGTGCTTTAGTTTAGGTTTTTCATTACACGCATTACAAGAATATTGAAAGCTTTCTCCGGTCTGTTTTGTGTTTGTTCAAGTGTTTTGAACTGGCTCTTGGCCCGCAGAAGCTCTAAAATACATAGTTGAAATGCAACTGCAAAGGAAAACAGAAGCCGATTATCTAATTAAACCGACTACAAACAGACCAAACAAAACAATTGTAACACTTGTGAGTTTTCATTTGTGCGGCAATACTCGCACTGACCTTGGGCTCACTTCGCACTCAATTGGACGCGCTCTAAGACCTCGGGTCTAAGAATTTAGGAGCGGAGGAAAATAAACTGTGACAGTGACCAGAAACTGTCAAAAACTCGACTTGAATGTCGCCTCGACATAAAACTGTCGCAAAGATTGTGACAGAATTACAAAAATGGGATGTTTAACTAAATGCTGTTGGACCTTAGGCGAAGCGTTTTTGAATTGTTGGCAACAGGTAAGGCGGCTTGGGCCATCACCATTGCCGATCCTAAGTCCGGTCGAAAACAAAAGAAGCTTTTGCTGGCGAACGCAAATTCCAGATAGCAGAGAAATTACGTCTGGCAATAAAAGCGGCTGTGCGATATTCAAGAACAATCTAGCAACGGGTCGCAACTAACTAATATAAATTGTGTGTTCCCCATAAGTGAAAGATAAACATAGACCAAGTCAACGTCTTCAGTCGACTGAGAAGAATTATAAAGGAATATGTTGTTTAAATTCCTAAGACTAAACATCGAACCTCCAATAAAGTCTAGGAAGGTCGCCAAAAAGACTTTAAAGAATTTCAAAATATAAATCAATTAGCTGGCTTAGGATAATCAAAATAATTAATGAGCAAGATTAACTATAATGGCCATACTTAGTTATATTTATGCTCTATCAGACTCATTTTAGGATTTGCGCATGCCTTTTGATTTATAAGCCGCTTAACTCAAAGGGAATGAGCAAAATTTCGTTGGCGAACAACAATTTTCTTTAAGCTGCATTTGAAAGTGAAATGCATAGTTTTGATTACATTTTGCAGCAGCTTGCTGTGCCCTTCGATTTCAATTAAAGGTTCTGCCATTTAGTTTTGGATTGTTGGGAAAACGTTAAAGAGGCGAGGGAGACACGCAGCTCACTCTCTGTTATTGATAGACCAATAGACTCATAGTTGCAGCTGCAAGGACGCCAATGAAATTGATTGAACATGTTGCCAGCTGCCCTTTGACTGAGGCAGCGCTCGCAAATTGCAGTGCCGGCATGCTTGATAGCGGCCTTAATATGTATGCCGCAGACCTTGTTGCGTAATTAAACCATAATGAAGTTAGCGTGCCTATTAGGCCGCTTGCCGCAAAGCCGGCTGCGGTAAGGCCCAAATGTTTGCCCAGTTTATTAAAATAGCTTTGTGCAGACCCGCCCTCCCTGGAAGATTCGGAGGCGCCTACTTTGGCTGCAACTCCGTATACGGAGACCACGATTAACTAAAGTTTTTACATGCCACTTACCTATTGCTTATCAAACTTACTGTCTACTTACGTCTTAGGTAAATGAAAGGGCAAACTTACCTGAAAGATAAAAGAGAGAGAGAAAAAATAAAACATGTTATTTGGCTTTAAGTAAGATGTTGATATGTATATATATATATATATAACAGATTGTTCGCATGAAAATCTACGATTTGCAGTTGTCGCATTGCTATGTGGTAAAAAAATGTATATACATTCGATGAAAGAGCGAGAACAAGAAACATCGAGCTTATGTCCGAATGTTGGTTGTGTAACAGCTAAATATGAACATTTTGCCATTGTATTTATGCAACTACGCAAGAAGAAATTGGCTACAGAAATATAAAATAATTGAGAAGTTTAGGACTAATGTAACCTGAATGTAATACAAGACGTGAATATATATATATTTATAAATATTACTTTATAAATGTCATGACTGTCAGTTGCAGCTCTTTGTGGGTGTAATTCTTTTGGTTCTTGCTCTACCAGCTCGTAATCCAGTCCTAGCAACAGCTACAGTTAATTCAAAGGGCATATCTGGTCTTAAATAACATATACGCAGCGTGGTCCAGATCCATATAGTGCAGCATCAGTGCAAAGCTTTCGCACTGTGGTGAAAGCTGCGAAAGCTCCATGCTTTCACTTTGGTTTTTTAACTGGCTATTGCATATATATAGAGCGAGGCTGTGGTGAAAAGCTTTCACAAACAGCTTTGAGCTTCACAAGGTTGTATTAAAAAGCTGTCGCAAAAGCTTTAATACAACTTTGAGCTTCAAAAACTTGATCTAGTTGTAAAACCTTACACAAGAAGCTATTTAAATCAACGTTTGCACCTCTTTTCTTTTGTACCAAGGATTTTAAACGTGTGCAACTTAAAAAAATCAAAGCTTTCTGTTACGTTCTGTTTCAGCTTTAAGCAAGTATAAAACGCTTTTCTTAAAAAATACGGTTATTTAATGAAGATTTTTGATTGAGCCACCTCCATACAGCTTGTTCGATCTACGCATTTGCAGGTCCAAAGATTATCAAGTATAAGGCTAAAACCAATTAGTTAATGATTAAATTCAAATGATGTATTAACATAAGCATTCAATTTGTTAATGGGACTTAAATAAGCAATTAAATTGTTCTTTAGTTCATGTTTATTGCATGTGCACGTGTGAAACAATTGAACACACGCGTCCTGGTTAAATTAAAGAACAGGAATGTCATGTAAGTTGTCTTCCTCGCTTTCTTATTTATTGTTTGCATATTTATAATTATTAATTTATAGCAGTTCTTTTAATTGTACAGCTTTTTCTGTCATTGTTGCTGCCGATGGGCTCAGCAATTATTTCTCATGTGCGTTTTTATTGATTAAACGAAAGAGTTATTTTCACTCGCTGGCAAAAGCAAAGAGTGTAGCAGCCCCTCAGAAGGTGCAGCTATAAATATGAGGCAAATACTCTTTCGTTCGCTATGGATTATGGCCAACTTGTCCAGCAGTGACTGACACACACACACACACACAGCTCACACGCCCACATTTGCTAAAGTTCAATGACTAGCAATAACGAAGCGTCATTCAAGCGTAAATTATTGCCAAGGACCCCAAATGGGCTTGGGAAAACGATGACAGGATAGCTGGAGCAGAGTAGAAGGGCCAGACGGCACGAGACCGTCAGAGCAGCTTAGCGGAAATGTGACAAAAGTACTTCAGAAAGGGTTCGGATGGGGTGCCAGGCTGCTAGTCTACCAGGCTGTGTACTGCTGCGACTGCGGCTGCGACTAGGGGTTTGAGCTTGGGGCCAGCGTATGGAGAATGCGCAACAGTTGATTGCCATCAATTGGAATTATGTAAATCAAATTGTCCACGCAGTATATCGAGTGCATATTGTCCGGGTGACGGCTCCAATTGGGCGTGAAATCGATAGAATTTGGCGGCCCATATGGCTCAACTTCAAGTTGCTCAACGGCAGAAACAAAGCATTGTCAAGTGAAGAAAACATGTTACAAAATAGCGCCAATTAGTCAATACCACTCAAGTAACTGGCATTCAGCTGATACAATGCAATAGCTGGTGAGTTAAACCAGCCTCCTCTTTGCTCACTTGTTCAAGATGCATAGTCTTGTATGGCTTTTGCTTGTATGAACACTAGCTGGGGATTTGAACCAGCACTCTCACTGATCAGTTGCTCAAATAGCATTGTTTCATATGGCAGTTAGTCTTAAACACAAACCGGGTATTTGAACCAGCAAAATTTCTGCTCTTATAAAACTGTTGAATAATAAACATAATAGACTAGCTGGGGATTCACACCAAAATCCTCCCCGTTCATTTGTCTAGTTCAGTTGGACAACTCATCGATATGTATCGATAGTTATTGAGTTTTTCGATTTTGTTGCAAGTTAAGGAACCAATTGGAATACTATAAAGTTTGCCCACATCGACAAATGCTATGGCACATTTGAGAAAAGTCAATAGAATGCTTTTTGCGAATATATATTGGTTAATATGAATACTATGTGTGTGTGTGTTTCCGAGACAAACATGCCCGTATTAACAAGTGTAACCTAAACCTTTTAAAACAATTCAACAATGACATAAGACAAAAAAAAACAGGTTAACAAAAAGTAGAAGGTAATCAAAGTATTTCAAACAGTCCCGTTCAGTGTGCCCTTAACGATTCCCTTGTGGTCGTCGATCAGCTGGTCTGCGTCTTGGTGGTGATTTTCTGATAGGTCGACGGGGAGGTGGTTTACGGCAGGTTGGCGGTTGTTTTGGCGAAGGACATTTTTTTCTGGTGGCTTTCTTACATTTCGGTGGTGCAGTTTTCTGGGGACATTTGTGTGGTGGACGAGGATTTTTACATTTTGGTCGTGGAGTTTTTGATGGCTTACGATTCTTTGTTGGGCGATGAGTCTTACATTTGGGCTTACAAGTTGCAGGCTTCTGTGGCTTCTTTGTCGGACGACACGGTTTCTTCGTCGGGACACACGGCTTCTTCGTTGTAGCGCACGGTTTCTTCGGGGTAGGATTCGGTTTCTTTGTCGGTGCACACGGTTTCTTGGTGGTATGGTGCGGCTTCCTTGTTGTTCCACACGGTTTGTTTGTTGTATGACGGGGCTTCTTAGTCGTTTTACATGGTTTCTTTGTCGGTGGGCGGGGCTTCTTTGTCGTTCGACATGGTTTCTTAGTCGGTGGTCTTGGCTTCTTGGTCGTTTTACATGGTTTCCTTGTCGTAGGAGTGGGCTTCTTTGTCGGTGGGTTCGTCGGTTTCTCTGTTGGAGGAGTAGGCTTCTTTGTCGGTGGGTTTGTCGGTGGGTTTGTCGGTGGGTTTGTCGGTGGGTTTGTCGGTTTCTCTGTTGGAGGAGTAGGCTTCTTGGTCGTTTCACATGGTTTTTCTGTCGTAGGAGTCGGCTTCTTTGTAGTTGGGTTTGTCGGTTTCTCTGTTGGAGGAGTGGGCTTCTTTGTCGGTGGGTTTGTCGGTGGGTTTGTCGGTGGGTTTGTCGGTTTCTCTGTTGGAGGAGTCGGCTTCTTGGTCGTTTCACATGGTTTTTCTGTCGTAGGAGTCGGCTTCTTTGTAGTTGGGTTTGTCGGTTTCTCTGTTGGAGGAGTGGGCTTCTTTGTTGGTGGTTTAGTCGGTTTCTCTGTTGGAGGAGTAGGCTTTTTGGTCGTTTCACATGGTTTTTCTGTCGTAGGAGTCGGCTTCTTTGTAGGTGGGTTTGTCGGTTTCTCTGTTGGAGGAGTCGGCTTTTTGGTCGTTTCACATGGTTTTTCTGTCGTTGGAGTCGGCTTCGTTGTCGGTGGGTTTGTTGGTTTTTCTGTTGGAGGAGTCGGCTTCCTGGTCGTTTCACACGGTTTCTTTGTGGTCGTTGTTGTTGTCGTAGGACATGGCGTTGTTGTAGTAGGACATGGCGTCGTTGTCGTAGGACACGTCGACGTTGTCGTAGGACACGTCTTCGTTGTCGTAGGACACGTCTTCGTTGTCGTAGGACACGTCGTCGTTGTCGTAGGACACGGCGTCGTTGTCCTTTCACACGCACAGCTCGCCTCGCCGGCCCCAGGCCCTTGAGCCACCAGAAGAGCTGTCAATAAGCCGAACAACCAGAAGATGCGCATCGTAGAGCAGTTGAGGTAACTGTTGCTCTTGTTCGGCAGATGCAACTTTTATATAGCAGTTGCAGGCAGGGCAAAGGCTGGGCATTTCGACTTTGGGGGCAACAGAGTTATTTTCATCCTCAGGCAGTGACCCATAAAGGTCTGTTTCCATTTTTGGATCTCGGTATATTCACCAGTTGACTTAATGGCAGATGGCGATGTTATTTTATGTTATTAAAATATAAAAACAGTACGCTTATAGACTGCCCGAGACTGTAAATGATCTGAGCATCAAAGGATTGGGTTCATGGGGTTAGGAAAGTTGTTGTTTGAAGAAATTGTTGCGATGTCAAAATAAAAAACAGCGCAATATAATATAATAATCAGTAGTCGTAATAGTAGGAACAACCGCAGCATCGCACATCTTATATGAATATAGCTTCAAATGCAAGTTGTCCCTATAATTATTGTGTCATTCCCACTAGATACAAAGCCAAAGCAGGCGAACTCACGCTTGCTGTTCCGACTTGTTTTTTTTTTTATACTTTGACCACCGATTACCCGAAAAAACCCTATATTGATCCAAATACAAGCTTCCTAACCCTTAGCGTTTAGGCTGTGCATTGATAACCATCAAGTCAGTCTTTGAGTTAGTCGGGACAAACTATTTAATATTGACACAAGTGAAATCTAAGAAAGTTTTGTATTACAATATCTTAGTTTATACTGCAAATATTGTGAATACTTTAAATTCACAGACTAGCAGGAAAAGCGTGGCCGACAGCCACAAGTTTAAATTTAAATCCAAATAATGTGTGTATAACACATTTCAAAAACAAATGAAGTCGTTTTTGTTTAAGCAGCAAACATAGCCTAAACATATTATGACTTTAATGATGATTGTTCTTCTCAAATTTTATATTTGTGTGCATATGAATCAATTCGCACAGCTGTCGGTTCCATTAATACTCAATTGTTTTGATCACCTGATCATTGTATGGAGTTTTTCCATACCCAATTTCAAAGTCTATCGTTCTATTCACATATTTATAATCTCGCAAGTTGAGCAAATAAAGGCTCTGCGATTCGACAAATGCTTGACGCCTTTCGATTAACTGCTTGCTATAAAAGTGGCTGGCAGCTTCTGCAATTTCGACAATTTGAGGTTGACATTTGGAAGATTAACATAATGAAGTTCAGCTCGCGTTTCCTGCTTCTGGCCTGCCTCTGCCTGTGGGCCTCATTTGCAGCCGCGCAGATCACCGAAGATACTGAAATTGCCTACGACGATGCTGAAGAATCGGGCTCCACGGATGATTATACTGAAGTTGACAGCGGCACCGACACCGACACTGAAACCGGCACCGAGTCCAACGTTGACACTGACTCAGGCACTGATACCGACATAGATACAGATACGGATACGGATACGGAGGGCACGGATGAGGAGGAGACAACTCAGGCACCGGTGCGCAGAACGACACGCAGAACACCCATTCGCCGACCAAACGCCAGCAACAACAACAGGCGCAGGCAAAATAGCAACAGGCGCAACAACAACAACAACAACAGGCGCAACAACAACACAAGACGCACCAATACCAACAACAGGCGCAACAACAACACCAGACGCAACAACAACAGGCGCGCAACAAACAACAATAGACGTGCGCAGAACAACAATGTTCGCGCTGTAAGGAACAGAAGACGCGGCTAAACTAATACACCGAACTGCTGGATTATATTGAACGATTGTGTCATATCCGATTTGAAATTATCAAAATCTTTTTTTTTTTTTTGGGTCTAAATTATGAATATTAAAAGCTTTGATTGATAAACGAAAACTAGTTATTCAAACTTGTAATTAGACAAGAGTTTTTTAACCAAACTCAAGGTTTTGACTGAGAAAGTCTGAGGTAAGGAGGAAATTGTCAGTTTTCCGAGAAGCCTTTTCGAAAAGACAGTCGAGAGCGGACCGAGAGCTTCAACTGTAACAATATCTCAGTCAACAAGCATACCCATGCTATCCTTCCAAGGATTTCTAGCCGACCCTGAATGCGAATCCGGCTGACGCGGCCTTGGCCAACAATCCATGATATCTGACATTGAACTCTTTTCGGCTATCGAATTTTTTCGTTTCAATTAACTAGCTCACGAAATTTAAATTGCTTGGCATTCAGCATGTGCAAGCTCTCCACTCACGAGTGCTGCGAGGTGGATTGCGGTCGACTGCATCAGGATTCGCGCGAAACAAAAATATACTGGATTTTATACAGGCAAAAAAAAAATTAAATTTTTAAATCTACTTGGAATTCAGTAGACCAGTTTTTGAGAAGAGCATAACTAAAATATTTTATATACATTTCTACGACTCGGCTTTGAGTAAATAACTCTGATTAAGCAAAATGACTTGAGGATAGCTAAAAATGTAACGTCGTGTTAGGGTACTTAAGCAATAAATACAGGGTATTTTGCAGCCAAGCATATGGAAAATACATTCTACGTACTCTAATTGCAACAATATAAAATAAGCGAAATTCAATTGATGTGTTAATTCTTATTTAATTGAAACATTTTCATTTGTTTTTTTTTTCCATTAATTTTCAATTTTCCATATCAGCCAAAAAAAAGAAGAAGCATAATTGCAGTTCATTGGAAATTGTGTAAAGCTTAAATCAACAACAACAAAAAGCCTGCACATGCGAAATAATAACAAAAGTCAAACAAATAAATATATTGATTTGCTGCAAAAATAATCGGAGAGGCTTTTGCAAAATTTATGCAATTTATTTATTCAATTTACAAATGTGAATCGGGGTCCCTTCAGTTCATTTGGCGACATTATTGTCAAAACATATTCAATTATGCATTGGGATTTTCTTTTATTTTTTTATTTTTTATTTTCGTTGGCCCTAAACTACGCAGCCTTTGTGCCAGACATACAATACAGGTGAAGCCGACTCAATTACTGAGCCTGTGTCTGTATTCTACTGTCTATGGCTTTCGGCTGTTGTGGTCTGCCCTGATGTCAGTGTTCGGGCCAAAGTTTGTGTCACTTAACTTTGTCGATTCGATTAAGTTGACTAACTGCAAATTGATTTGATTGTAAGTCGCTAATTGGTTGGTTCTGAAACTTTTGAGCCAAGTTCGTTGTGCAGTGTTTGTTTTTTTGTTTGGTTTTCAGGGATAAATAGCGCATACGCCACGTAGCCGGCACACAAATGCGTTTCGAGTTGACGCGTTTCGTTGCCACAAATAAAAAAAATATATGAGTTTGGCTTTAAGCAGCCGCCGCCGCATTTGTCTAAATATTGACAAATTAAATAATAATATTGTTGCGTTTGTTTGGATTCCGTTTATTTTCATGTTATTTGCTTTCGTTTTGGTTTTGTTGTTTTGGTATTCTTTCTTTCTCTCTTGCCTTCGCCTTTCCAGTTTTGTTTTGTTTTTTTTTTTTTTCTTTTTGAACAGCGGCGCGAGCTGTTCATAGTCAATTTTAAAGGCCAAAGTCAGCACAATGCCAGAAGCAGGCAGCAGCAGAAGCTGTGCAAAAAGTATTGCATAACTCTAGGCGTCACTTTAAGTGTTCCGTATGACTCGAAGTTTTTATCAAACTTTCGCTTGGAGCATTATTTATTTTATATATTACTAGCATATTTAAGACGCGACTTCAACCGCGTGCATTTCGACTTATAATCTCCACCAAGCATCTTTAAAACCGCGAGCGCCCCATCTCCATCCCACCGCCCGACGCACGACTCCATTTCCGCGGCTTTATATACTTCACTCCGACATCTTTAAAAACGGGGATTTCAAATGTGAGCACGAAAATACAATTTAAAATCTTCCAAGCTGCGTTTCCACTTGGCATTAAAGCTTTTATTTACAGGCTTGGCGAAATTCGCAACACTGAATTATAAAGGAGACCTTGAGCTTTTGTTGGCCAAGTAATTAGCCCGTAAGTAATGCTCGCTGCATTTCACAACACTGTTGGGCACACAATGCTTTATAACATTTAAGACTTTTTCCTTAAATTGAAATACTATAAAACTCAAACACATTGAATATTAAAGCATACATTAATACTCAAGCTATAAACATAAAGGCTGAATGTGGGCAGAGGGGAACAGGCAGAGGCAATCATCTTCAACTCCATAAAGTATATGTACATTCTGGATCTCGACGACGAGCTGAGTACCATGTTTGCCATGATATCGATTTCAATTTAAATAATATCGATATATATCGAATATTATTTAAAGTATGAGGAAATCAAGGAAACCCTTTGTCAAAAAAACCGATCGGCCTCAAGCTTAAGTTCTTTGTTCATATACATTTAAGAGATGTTTCACGCTTTTTGGCAAGTCCGCCCAAAATTTTCTTGGTGGTAATGTAGGCGACAAATTGGAATTGACAAATTGCGGTTGTTAACTCAATTTCAAGTACATTTCTGAAAATTCATTCAGATCTTTTGCATTGTAAACGATTATCTTCTTGGTTAGAAAATGTGGTTGAATGGGCGAAACTGGGATATGAGCTAATTTGTAAAGATTTTCACATAAATTAATTTGGGAAAAATTCACCTCTTCTTGAGAAATGGGAAAAATTGAATGCAAAAAACTTGGACCGGACTGGGCTGGAAATACTTGCTACTTAAATATATATATTGATTGGCTGAGTACTTACCGGACATTGGCCAGGGTGTGACGACGGTTCTTCAGGTAGCGACTGTGATACTTTTGGAGATCACCGATGGAGCCCTGTTCGGCCTGCATTTTGGTGGTGGGCAGCAGCTGCGAGTTGCTGGGATGCGAGGCGAGTGCCGAGGCGGAAGACGAGGCCAAACGATGATGGGCAGCAACGCTGACGCTGCTGCTGTTGTTGGTATTGGTGTTGGTGTTGCCGGTGCTGCCGCTTGAGGCCAATGTCTCGTTTGAATTGCTGCCAATAACTGTGGCCGAGGATGAGCCACCGCCACCGCCGCCGCCGGTGCTGCCAATCGGTGTGAGCACAATACGCGACCAACACGATTTGTGCGGCTTACGAAATTTGAGCTTGATGCGCGGTGAGGGCGTCGAGGCGCCGCCGTACTCTGGCTGCACGCTGCCGCCGGCCGTTGCCGAGGATGAGGTGCCCGAACTGTGATGCACGCTCTCGCAGCTGCCGCAATACCCGCCGCCGGCAATGGTAATGGGCGGCAGCGGTTCCTCAAGACCCTTGACCGGGCTGCTGCTGCCCAAC